ATATATATATATATATATATACATCCTATATGCCATTTTGTTTCGTTTCGTTAAAGAGCTGCCATTCCTGGAGTATATTCCGTTTATGTTACGGTGGATGGTGTTGAAGTCGATTCTTACTGCAATAGCCAATCTTGCAACTTTGAGGTAAGAGATTGCTTGCTCTATTTTCTTATTTTATTGAGAAATATCCCAATGTTTAGTTAGTCCATAGTAACTTTATTCACACAGCCCGCTTCATAAGGCAAGTGGTAAAGCACATCAACCTAGCGTTATAGTTGGCGTTAATCTAAGACTTTCCCCTCGTTTGGTTGGGTTGTAGCAGAATCAATTCTTCCCTGATGATTCTATGATGATACTATTAATATTTGAAAGGCCTATATTATTTATCAGTTCCGTTTTTTTTTCTAGTGACGTATTCTATCACAAACCGTTTACTCTTATATTTTGGGTTCTCTGATACAGAATATTGACCGTTGGTACCGTGTACACAACTAACGGTGTGTGCACTTAAAAAACCCAGGATATCTTCCACGAATAGCAAGGGGTTAGCCCGGGTTTTTATTTTATCCTGACCCTGCTTTGGACGACGTGCGCCAGTTAGCAGCAAACATAGCCGTCGGAAGCATTTTGCAAGTGGTCCGGCCATTAGAGTGAGGGGTGGTGTGGTGGTGGTGGGGGGGGGGGGGTAATATGATCACTTGACATTTTGTTAGTAAATGAGAGTGTGGACCCGCTATCTCTATCGACAGCTACAGGATTTTGAAGTTAGTTGAGGTCTGAGAGCATAATTATCAACTCTAGCCCCACATGGTTGGTAAACAACTTATTTGGCGCCTATGAATCTCCGGAAGTAGATGCTGGCAACCTACAGCCGCTTTCCCTTTCCCTCAAGGGGCAGCCACAATATATAAAGTTAGCATGGATGAGAGTCTATTTTGGAAATATGGCACCTCTGGATGCCATGAAATAGCAGCTGGTAAAGCTGTAGAAAACAATATTGTTAAAATTTAATTTAATTTAAGTAGATAAATTGAGTTGCTTATTCCTCCAGAAGAGAAAGAAACATGAATACAAAATAATGCATAAACCAAAATATGACTATAACATAATGTAATTGTGTTTCACGATGTGGAGGGTATTCAACTATAAAATATACACAATATTCAATAAATGAAACACAAGATACTATTTTCCACACAAATGGACCTGCAGCCTACATGTTATGAACATACTACTCGTACAATTTTAATTAAATGTTCTTGTAAAATTCAGCCTGGAACATTAATAAGTTATTGATCACGCTCTAGAAGTTATATACTATCAATAGAATTGTAAAAAAATAATAATAAGTTAAGTGTTGTGTTTGCTTCTGGTAGGCCTTGTACTGATTACACATTAATTTTAGTCAACCTTCGGTATATTCGTGCAGACAGACCATGCACGTATACTTCCATGGAGATAACTACCCTGGTAATAAATAAATAACAGAGTGCAGTACTAACATTAGGGTGATCCAGTTAGTGAGTGGAGAGGGGCACAATGCCGCTGAATAATTTTTGAAACTAACTTTTTAAAGTAACATAAAAATTATCAACTTGAACATAAACATTAGTGTATTTAAAAAATATTTACCCGTCATTTTCAAAGAAAAATGATAGAAACACTTCCAGTCAATAGAAGTGTTTTATTTTTATTTTAATTATCCAGTTTAAAAATCAGGGTACACATTTTTGAAATTCAATAATTTATTTGCTCAATTTAAAAATATGTACGCTAACTGCAAAAATGAACAAGTTAATTTCAAAATTATTTTTATGATTTTTTGAGACAAGACATCTTTAAACCTTGTTTACCTTGATGCCCAGAAAAAAAGTGAATTAATGATGATCATAATTATGATGAGGGGATAATGATAACAATGACGGTTATGATGACGGTAATAATGAATGACTACGATGACAATAATGATGACGATGATGATGTCGATCGCCGTGACGTCGACGTTGATGATGAACGGTAATGTTGTTGATGTAGGTGTTGGCATGTTTGAGAGTGATGAAGAAACTAATGCAGACTAAAGTGAAGTAAGTTCAATCTGGAATCAAACCGAAAAAATGTCCCCGATCAGGATGCAGCAGGAATAAAAGCCCCTGGAAAAATCAGCATTTTTTATTTGGTAGAGTCTAATTTAGGTCGCTATGCTATTTTTAGTCTAATAATAGGCCTAGTAGGTGTAATACTTAAGCAAGCAGATCCTCCGATTGAACTCCAGGGACCAGAAAGCAGTGACGGAGCCAGCGGGGGGGGGGGGGAGCGGGGAGGGCACAGGGACTTAAATCCCCACCGGACAGGTCAAGCCCCCCCGCCGGACAGAGCTCGTCGGGCAGTCAAACCATAAAACATACAAAAATAGGCCCACACCAAGCCAACACGTCTGTCACAGTCTGAGAGTGCCATTTCCGGCCATCCACAGGTTTATAATCTTAAAGAAAATCTTATTTGGAAGGGGAACCCCCTCTCAGCCCCTTCCCCAGCTCGAGCCTACGAGCTCAAGTCCCCTTGTTGGACAATTTAACCCCCCCACCCGAAAATATATCCTAGAGCCGCCACTGCTAAAAAGCACTGAACAAAAAGTTGGTTGTTCTCTTAGTAATGTATATATCAATAAAAATGTTTGGATTTAATCTATTTATCGTTGCATTTCATCGCACTGTAATGGTTAATTTTGTTGAGCACCACACCGCTTTATAAAACTGGACATCCCCACCATCTTTCGTCCGACGCCACGACGAGGTCGTGAGACTAAACTAATCTTTAAATCCAATCAAGTTGCGGTTGCCATTCCCTAATATTGTGATCTAAAAGTATAAATTGTGGATGCCCAAAAATCTCATCTGGCAATCCCCCCGCCCCCTCAAGGGGTAGAGTTGGTGTATAAATTCATACCTGTAAATTTTGAAAATGCAAAGCAACTACCCCTATTTCAACCCCATGCAGGAACAGATACAATATTTAAAGTTAGTGGAAGTGGGCTAGATACTGTACCCTCTATCTCAGGTTCATCGTACCATGATTAAAAAAGTCAATGCGATGCGTATCTTCATATAATTCATAATTATCATTATATATTTATTTCAGAAAGTAATGGAATTGAGAAAAAGTGGACCGGCCATAGCCGGTCCGGCCGGTGCGCTTCCTGGTAAAATTTACATGATTTGGACTATGATACTTGATAGGCCTATGGCAGTGGGTGTTTGTGTTTTGTCTAAGCACGCACTCCCATGACAGCCAGTTACGGGATATCGGGTGCTTTTACATAGCAATTCTATAGAGGGATTTAATTGCCTGTCAAAGAAAAAAGAAAACATTGTTAAATTTAACCTTATTGGGATTTAAAAATCGATATCGCTGGCCATTACCACTTCGAAACTTGAGGCTTAATGAGGATGGGCTCCACCTTTTCCAGTAGACGGTAATATAATGTTTGGGTGGCTTTAATCGATCCAGTAATATGCCCTATGCTACGCGGTGGTGTGACACACTTAACGCGGTCCAGATGCATACACATGCGGCTTGACGGTAACGAGAAAGAAATACATACCCATGTGCGCCGCTAGTCGATGATGATAGTGACTGCGACAATAATTTCAGTCGGGCCGATGTCCTGCGGCGGACGATTTTTGTTTTCCGAACCGTTTTGGACGGCAGGAAAGAATCCCTGACGGGAGGAGCTAGAGCCACCACTGGGTTTTACAACAGAACAGTGGCGGCGCCAGGATTTCTCCGACGGGGAGGGGGTCCAAGGTCCCCGTCGGGGAAATCATGGCGCCGCCACTGTTCCTGGCGCACTCACTGCGTCGTACGACGGTCGGCCGACGAATCCAACTCCGGGCGCATTCAGATTATGTACTCGGCATAAAATGTTTTCGTAACATTATGTTCTCGGCACATGTTCACATACCACACCGAACGAAAAAGTTCTTGAAATACGATCATTCAGATTATAAAACCATGTTCTTGGCATTTACGCATGTGTAACATTTTGAGAGGTGCTCAGAGTCACTGTAGGCCTAACTTTATTTCCATTTTATTAAATTTGTCTTTTATACGATCCCAGGGTCTTCGTGGAAATCCAAGATTGTCGGATACCTTTTGGAAAAGTTGCTTATTCCCAGATCCTTTGGTATTTTGTGCTTCTATCTCCCTTCTTCCCAAACTTCAACTACGCAATTCATTTCGATGACTGCACTCCATGTGCTTCCTCTGTCAGAACATGTTTTCAGCATTTTGTTTTGTTCCAAAACATTTAGGCCTACAGCATAAATTAATCAAGAGAACAGTATTACTGCTGTATTATAAAAGCACATAGAAAATATTATTAGATTATCACTCTTATGATCTAAAACAATGATGAAGGGCGGTTTTTTTTAATTGGAACAATAGATTAGGCCTATTTCGCCTTTGTTTTTATCGATGAGGGAGGGGACTGTTTATATTGGTCTGTAATAGTAAATATTGTATAAAAACAGGTTTAATTTTATAGTTTTTTAAAGAAAATGTATTTAAAGTAACAAAATTGCATTGTTATTTTTATGCTGTTGAAATAATTGATGCGGAAAAAAAATTATTCCCGCATCAATATTTCCCGAATTTTTTACGCTTGCGGAAGTAATAATCTAATAAATTTTTATATTTGCCCTAACATGTGTACATTGCGCCTCTGAAGAATGTCAAAGCAGGTCAGGTCACGTCATTGAAGCCCGCCCAGTTATAACATTTTATGCTCGGCACACGTTCAGACTTCATTCCAGAGTCGTAGTTCGAAAACATTTTGTTCCGAGAACGTGGTTCAACTGGGTTCTAGCTAGAACATTCTGTGCTCGACATAAATTCCATTAGCACACTACAACAAATGACGTGTGCCGAGAACATTATGTGCCGAGAACATGCGCCGAGAACACAGTCTGAATGCCCAGGACGATGGTAGTCTGAACGGATCGTCATTAAAAACGATCCGTTGCGCGCGTGTCATAGCGTTGCGTTCTCCATAGCATCGCATCGGCCGACAACCGTCAAGAGCTTGAGGTTGACGTTTTGCTTTTAAAATTATGTCCATTATACTATCTACCAATTTTAGGTTTATC